GACAGATCCAGGCCCACTGCTGCCACTGAGAGGCAACCCGGACTTCCCAGCAGGGGACCTTGGCCCCACACCGGGCCCAGCAGGACACCCAACAATTCCTCGCATGACAGACGTCCTGGTGCACCCGTTCGGCATTCGGCCATTAACAGAACTCTTCCCGGACAGATCACACACTTTTTCACACACACTAGCGAGAGCGCAAATCTCCCAATATGCACGTTCCATCCCGCAAAAACCTTCCCTACTTAGGGAAACTACCCAATTTGAGAACCTGTGCACGCAGACCACAGAAACACCCCGAGCTATCTCACAGATATACACGATATTGGTCACTTGTAGGTATTTATTGGCACCGCCTTGCATAAGAAACTGGGAAGAAGACCTAGATGAGACCCTGTCGGAAGCGGACTGAGACAAGTGCATCACTCTCATACAAAAAACTCCCAGCTCAGCACGCCTGCAAGAAAACTCCTACAAGATATTCACCAGATGGTATCTGACGCCGACAGCACTCCACGTCAGGAACCCGGACATACCAGACACATGCTGGAGATGCGGGGAAGAAACAGGCACGTTTCTGCATATCTGGTGGGCATGTGCAAGACTCCGGCCCTTTTGGGACACAATTAGGGATATAATACACGAAGTAACAGACGAGACACTTCCGGGGTCCCCGGCCGCCTTTCTCCTCCACCACACCAACATGACCGCGCAGCCGTACACCAGATCAGTGATACCGCGGTTGCTGAACGCAGCCAAAACAGTCATCCCCATCTACTGGAAGCAGGCGAACGCACCCCCGATAACACGATGGCTAGAGGAGGTGGAAAGCACTAGGAAATTTGAAGATATAAAGGCAAACACGCCGAAACTTAGAGACCGATATACCAAACGCTGGTTTCACTGGCTACGACTAACCGCATCGAACGACTTTCAATGCCGCCTGGCCACACGGTAACCAAGAATGATGAGACGGAGGGGGCTGGGGCTGGGGCTGGGGACGGAGCGGGAGGCAGAGAAGGGTGGCAGACGGCGACGGCAGTAGGGGACGGACACACCCATCCCCCCAGCGCCCTCCCCCCCATGTCAACCCCCAATTAAACCCAGAAACACACCTCGAAAGACAGACACAGTAGCAAAATGAAACCGAAAGGCCTTACCTAGCCATCCCCAACGAGACTGCTCGACAACAACACCAGAAAGAAGCAACCCTACCTAGTGCCACGAGAAATTCAACCCTCAACAGACCCATAGACAGTCAAGACGCAGTGGGGGGCAACACCGCAGACAGCACAGAAAGGGAAAACACACATAGGAGACACGGAACCAAGAGTTGGCCACACCACGGACGCACACCCAACCGAAGCCCTTAAAACCAGACATAACGGGGACGACGCATTAGAACACGAATGGGGACAAACGCAGGGCACACCTAGACGCACACGACCGGGAAACACCAAACTGCACAAAGCAACAGATATCCAGACGCACAAGTAGCAAGCAAGCATAGGCGCCAGAACAAATAGAATAAGATTAGGCAGAAACACTCGCAACAATATACACAGGCGCAACAGTAATATAGCAACACTGCAAGCCATACAGATGCAAAACGCGAGTAACAAATTGTGAGTGTTTCTGCGATATGGTGCACGCAATGACAACCCGGCCTCTATATAAGGCGACGGAATGCAATCAAATGTATGTCATGCAACCAGGCACCCCTGCATGGGCAACCTCTGCCTCACTACTCATGAAGATGTTACCCACACGGGTGCTATGACAGCACTACAAATATTCAAAATAGTCCCACTAACACATAGACATTACACGAACCAGCCAATGCAAGACAACTACACGAATATACCCATCCACCTCCTTCGGTGTTTCAATACACCAAGATGCATAGTAGCTGGCCATGTGCCACTAATCGACACCAACACAGCAGTACACATATGATAATAACTCTAACACACGACAACACCAAACTTGTTTAACGAAAGCGAAAAATCTAATCCTGCAGAACATAAGTATTCTTACATTCTGGTAGGGCATGGTTACTCTGAGTTATCCAAACACCGAAAGCAACGCCTCTGCGTAGGCGATGAACCGCTTAACCATAAATACGTTTGCAATGGAATCTATGTTATGAACCAATCAACATTTTCAAAACAAAGGCAATACCAAATCCGCCTCTGCGTAGGCGACAAAATGCATACATCATTATATATTGACGCTTAAGCCCCTGCGCGGGCATTTACCGGCTTTATCACGAATCAGTTTGCTATATGCGATTATATTGTGAGAACAATAAAAATATTCAAAACAAAAACAAAACATAAACAAATCAGTGACCAATATAGCCACCTTTCTTTGCAAGGACACTCAAAAGCCTGCCATCCATGGATTCTGTCAGTGTTTTGATCTGTTCACCATCAACATTGCGTGCAGCAGCAACCACAGCCTCCCAGACACTGTTCAGAGAGGTGTACTGTTTTCCCTCCTTGTAAATCTCACATTTGATGATGGACCACAGGTTCTCAATGGGGTTCAGATCAGGTGAACAAGGAGGCCATGTCATTAGATTTTCTTCTTTTATACCCTTTCTTGCCAGCCACGCTGTGGAGTACTTGGACGCGTGTGATGGAGCATTGTCCTGCATGAAAATCATGTTTTTCTTGAAGGATGCAGACTTCTTCCTGTACCACTGCTTGAAGAAGGTGTCTTCCAGGAACTGGCAGTAGGACTGGGAGTTGAGCTTGACTCCATCCTCAACCCGAAAAGGCCCCACAAGCTCATCTTTGATGATACCAGCCCAAACCAGTACTCCACCTTCACCTTGCTGGCGTCTGAGTCGGACTGGAGCTCTCTGCCCTTTACCAATCCAGCCACGGGCCCATCCATCTGGCCCATCAAGACTCACTCTCATTTCATCAGTCCATAAAACCTTAGAAAAATCAGTCTTGAGATATTTCTTGGCCCAGTCTTGACGTTTCAGCTTGTGTGTCTTGTTCAGTGGTGGTCGTCTTTCAGCCTTTCTTACCTTGGCCATGTCTCTGAGTATTGCACACCTTGTGCTTTTGGGCACTCCAGTGATGTTGCAGCTCTGAAATATGGCCAAACTGGTGGCAAGTGGCATCGTGGCAGCTGCACGCTTGACTTTTCTCAGTTCATGGGCAGTTATTTTGCGCCTTGGTTTTTCCACACGCTTCTTGCGACCCTGTTGACTATTTTGAATGAAACGCTTGATTGTTCGATGATCACGCTTCAGAAGCTTTGCAATTTTAAGAGTGCTGCATCCCTCTGCAAGATATCTCACTATTTTTGACTTTTCTGAGCCTGTCAAGTCCTTCTTTTGACCCATTTTGCCAAAGGAAAGGAAGTTGCCTAATAATTATGCACACCTGATATAGGGTGTTGATGTCATTAGACCACACCCCTTCTCATTACAGAGATGCACATCACCTAATATGCTTAATTGGTAGTAGGCTTTCGAGCCTATACAGCTTGGAGTAAGACAACATGCATAAAGAGGATGATGTGGTCAAAATACTCATTTGCCTCATAATTCTGCACTCCCTGTAGTGAGCCACAACCAAAATCGGAATTTAATTTTTTATTTTTTTTAATTAACGTGTGGCATTGATGGTTGATGATTGCTATTGACTAGCAGATAAAGATACAAAACACCGGGAACTTTTAGAGTGATTCAGATCTGCTTCAACAAATGTTAACTCAGCTTGACGAAGTCTCATGTGAAGAAATAAATATTTGTTGAGATTTGCCCAGCATGTTGCATGTCAGAGAACATAAAATCATACAGTTATATTAGATGCCTACATTATGAATGAGACATTCTGCATTATTTGTATAAACTGTAAGAAAAATGTATTTGAATACCAGAAGCATAAAAAAAAAAAAAACAATAAAACCAACGATTTGTTCCATACAGTGGTGTACCTAGAGCATTTAACACCTGGGGCGGACCTGTATTTAGTATACTCCCTTCCCCCCAAGCAATAAAATGTAAAATAAAAATAAAAAACTGCCTTTTTTATGTTTTCAAGAATTTTCTTTATTTTTTAATTCTTTATTTTTGCAGGTGTCTCATTACAGCATACTGAGCATAGACAAAATGTAGTATGGGCATAAGAGAAGATATTATCTAGCAAAATCACCCATTTTTTTATACATCGAGAAAATATATATTTGGTATATGATTTCTGCATATGAGGTTGCTTTCAAGTAAGAAAATCAATAACAGAAACATAAACTGGGATGGAGTATATTTCTGAACCAAGTATGGGCACTTTATGCTCTGATGCATAGTCACCATGAGTGGTGCTGGATGTCTGCTAACAAGGGACAGTGACTTCCCGAATCCCTATTGCAGGAGATCATAGTGTGTGAAAGTTACCAACGAGCATTAGCGATCAGCATTGTGCTTGTGCTCAGAGCGAGTGTAGCTAAGCCCAAGAGAGAATTAGGTAAGCTCTATAACCGTGGAACTTGTAGGTGGGGGAGTGCATTTTAGTAGCGACTCCAATTAGTTTTGCGTTATGTTAAATTGTTGATGACCCGTAAAGGTCTAGGTGTCCTGGAGGACTTATCAGGGTTATAACATGAACCGTAAAACAAAGTGCAGATGTACAATAACTCAGAAAACAAATTCAACGTAAACTATACATATAAGGTAGTCGGCATGGGAAGGCCATAGGGAGTTGCGAGTGTAAAGACAACAACGTTTTCCACATTCCATTGGTGTGTAGCTCTGCCATTTCGTTCTGCCACTAGTGCCATGGAGCCCCCCTCCTGTACTGGATACCTGCTGTTCACAATTGAGAGGTCACCTCCTTCAAAGTTGCTCAACACTGTAGTGTGGACCTGCTAAGGTCTTGAAAGAATCATAGTGAGTGCTGCTCGAAAATAAATGGTGTTTGGCCCTTAACTTGTGCCAAAAAAGTGTCCTTGTCAGTTTGTAACCAAAAACAAAGCATAAAATCTCAGGATCCACTGGGCTTGTTAGTAGGGTGTCCTGGGAGGCGGTAGAGCCTATCAAGCTGCAGTCCCTTTGCCTGTTTAGACGTGAGGGTAGTGGAGAGTAGCCTCCGAATGAACTGCGGGAGCTCGCCAGCATCAACAGTGTCTTGGACTTTCAAGTTGTGCTGTCTTGCTGTATCCTCCACTTTTGCGGTCAGCGCTGCACATTCTAGGGATACTTCATGCAGCTGAGCCACTGTGGTGTCTTGTTTAGCTCTGAGGCTGCGAACAGTTTCCTCCATGGAAGTCATTCTACCAACCAGAGTGCTGAGGTCTGTTTTGAGGACCACCATTTCGGAGGCGATGTAGGCTTTGATCTCCATTACCATCACAGCAATGTCAATTTTCGCAGCCCACTGTGGTTTGGGATGCTGCTGGGGAACCACTTTGCCACTGTGGTCAGATAGAGGAAGCAGGGTCAGCTGTTGCTCTAAGCCAAACAAAAAATATGTAAGAGCAGGTAGCTGAACTGAAAGCATAGCTGACTTAGAGTTTGACTACTTTTACCTTACATTTGAAACTCCTTTGAATTCTCACTTTAGTTAATAACCCAATCAGGATCACTCACTAAAGTAAGAATTCAGGGTGAATTCAATGAGAATTTCAAATTTAACCCCACAAGGACCAAACTTCTGGAATAAAAGGGAATCATGACATGTCACACACGTCATGTGTCCTTAAGGGGTTAAAGTCAAAATAGCTGAACTGGAAAAATGATCTAAGTCAGTTATGCTGTCAGTTTGGCTACTCTGGTCTTAAGTTTAAAATTCATATTGATTGCTCAGTTTAGTAACTAACCTTGTGGTTGTTAGCCATTGGGGATGCTTCTAACTAAGGAGTGGTTATAAACATGAATCAGCTAGACATGTCCTTAAATGCACACACTTCCTTTTTTCTTCCTTTTTGCTTCCTTTTAAGCCTTTTAATATATATTACTAGGCGTGCTGTCTTTGCATTCTGGCCAGATTTGATCTTTGAACTTTCATTTTTTTTTTTTTTTTTACCCTTTTCCCATATGCCACACTGTATTGAGCCTCTGCAAGGCTTGTTTATTCCATCTGTTTTCTTTTTTTTCCCTTTTTTTTTTGTGTGTGTGTGTGCTAGTTTATATGGTCCTTGCTTTAACATTTGCAAGCTCTTATGTTTCACTATTTTACTTTATCTATTTTAGTATAGTACATTTTACTTTATTTCTGAGCCACATGAATAACTTTGCTTGTATGTGCTATATATGGTTTCTTTAAAACATTTTAATAAGTTTTGTTTCTATTTATGCAGCCATAGATACACCTCCCCCGGCTTTGACTGGCATAGCCTGCATGAAATGTATTTTTTTTTTAATTTTCAACCAGATGTTAACTTACTTTACAAGTTTTTATTTCCTGCTCTGTATATTGTATATAAGTTGGTGGCTCCTGCAAGGTCTAGCAGGATATTAAAAGTGGAGGAGATACAAAATTGTAAATTAAACAGACTGTGCAACGGAATAACTTTAAACATTAGATCTCACTTTACAGGAATAGTTTAGGAAGGCTGTGTAAGTCAGGTGTGAGTAGGACTACATAAACAAATTGATTTAACTTCTCAATGGTAAAGAATTAGAAGTAGTAGTGAGACTGCACGGCATGATCTATACACCAAAACTGCTTCATTAAAGGGATTTAATAGTATTAGGAAAATGAAAATCTGTATTCCTAACACCATAGAGCCCTCAAATCTCCCCTCCCTCACAGCCTCCTTTCCCTCACATAATGTTACCAGTTAAAATAAAATCACTTACCCGAATTAAAAAAATAAAAATCACTTACCCAAAACCAGCACTGACTGACAATGTCACCTGATGGAGGGGGGCTAATGCAAATGTGTGGCGAGTGCTGCGAGCGCATTAGGCTTTCCTATGGGGATTTCACTGATGCTGGATGTCCTCATGCAGAGCGTGAAGACGTCTAGTTTCATTTAGATGACTTGGAGTCAGTAAACATCGAGAAAGTGCCTATAGTGGCCATTTGATTGATAGCCACTAGAGGCAATCTTAGTCCTGCAAGGTAATCATTGCAGTTTCTCTAAAACTGCAATTATTTACATTGAAGGACTAAGTGGGACAGGGACACTGCCCCCAGACAACTTAAGTAAGCTGGAGTGATCTGGGTGACTATAGTGTCCCTTTAAGCTAAACATGGTTTTTGTAACTATAGAGTCTCTTTGAGTGTGCCCCATTCTTTCTTGAACTTTGTTAATTATACCTTGAACTTTATAGCCCATCTAAGGCAGAGTTTATGTGTTTGCCTAAAATTGGCCTTGATTTAATAAACTGTAAAATCTTTGAATATGACTTATCTGCAGAATATATGCACCATTAAAGTCTATGGGTGTTTTTGTAAATAAATGATTTGGAATGTTTTTCTAACATTATTATTATTATTATTATTACTGCCATTTATATAGCGCCAACAGATTCCGTAGTGCTTTACAATATTATTACAGGGGGGATTTAACAATAAATAGGACAATTAAAAGAAAAGTTACAGAAACGATTGGTTGCAGTCAAACGAGCTTACAGGCTATAGGACTATTGAATCATTTGAAAAGCTTATATACAGACAGACAGACACACATACACAAACACACACAAAATGTTTAAGTCACCCTCCTGTTTCCTACCTTTTAGGTGCAGGAGGGTGACTTTCTCTGGGGTCCAGTGGAGACTCAGGTTGATGAGTCAGAGTTCCCTTTCTGACTCCCTCTCCTTCCTCCCGCGCGGGCTCTGTGTATGCTGCGAGGAGTGACTGGGGCAGTCTCTTCCTCCCAGCAGTGATCTCATTACATGGGGCCCGGTCATGTTGTTAAAGCGCCGCAGCGCTGACAGGGCCCCCTGGAAATCAATATCCATTGGGTGGCTCTAACAGCATGGGCCACTACAACATGCGGCCCCGGCGGTTTGCTGCGCGGGCAGGGGGACGCAAAACATGGGGGCGGGTACCCGGTCGCAGGAGTCCACAGGGGGACCAGGCTCGCTGGAGTGACTGGCCTGGTAGCAGTGGCGACCCCTATATGTACACCACTGCCTTTTAGTTCACCAGCTTTATTTTTTCTACCAATTTTTCTGGCAGTACTTCCTAAAGGGACAAGGGTCTGAATATGCTACTCAGATTTATTATTACCCAGGGAACTTAATGTAGTAACAGCCACATCAATACTTTTTTATTTTGCTGGTTTCTTTTCTGAATTATGCTGAAGGCATGGTGTTGTGGCAGTGTAACATTAATATTTAAGAATGAAGTCACATTATGAGCCGGGAAATTGCAAATGTGTGATTTTTAGCATCTGTGGTTGAGATTCGATAATTTTTAGGAATACATTTTAAAGATCAAAACAACCTGGTTTTATAAAGGACAGATAATGTCAAACTGACCTAATTGCTTTCTGTGTAGAAGTGAGTTTACCTATATCAGGGTATTGCAGGGGATGTGATCTGCTTAGATTTAGCTAAAAGCATTTAAAAAGGTCCCACACCAAAGATTGCTGTACACATTGAAAAAGAAAGGTTCAAAGGAATCAGTTTGCACTTGATTTGATAAGAGTCTTTAAGAGAGAGTACAGATAGACATTATTAATTGAAGATTCTCAAACTAGACTAAAAGGGTAGATTAAGTCCATCAGTCCATCAGTTTTGTGTCCAGTGCCCACTTGGTATTAGTAATCTTGGAATGGGTATCGAAATGCACATACAGGGTAAGGAAATACAGACATTCACGTTTCTGTGCAGACTAATTGGTGTAAACCAATATTTTTTTTTCTTTTTCGATTGGGAGTTTTATTACCTATATTAGCTTGTCAAAAAAAAAGAATTAATTATTGATACTAATAGTTCAAATGGATTCCTTACAGGTTAAAATATAATTTAATGAGCTTCAATAATAAAATGTTCCAAGATGTTTCTATAATACAATTGTACTAAAGCTTAATTAAAGTAATGTTAAAATGTGACATTTAATTTTACTGCTTCCTAATCATTTTTATGTTGGTCCAATAAAAGGTATCATAACCTGGAATGAGTCCATTTACATTAAATTCTGCTAATAGACAGATAAATAGACAGACACACTGACAATTTTGTTTGTCCTAATGGAAAACCCACAGTCATTCATTTTAAGGAACACAAAAGTGTTAGAAATACAAAGTTGGGTTCCTAACACTATAGTGTCCCTCTGCTGCCCCTCCATTGCACCCCCCGTGGCAATTAAAAAAGGGTTAAAAAAACCTTTTACTCATGTACCTTATTCCACCACCGAGGTCCCTCGGCACTGGCTCTGTCTTTACGCCATCAGATGTCAGCACTGAGGTTATAAAGCGCATATGCATGTCTCAAATTCTGTGAAACAGCAGCAGGAAGCACCTCTAGTGGTTGTCTCATAGAGAGCCACTAGTGGCAATCTTAGCATTGCAATGTAAAAATGTTGTGTCTCTGAAAATGCTATGTCTTACTGTCATACTTACTATGTGACCCAACACGCAAAACTATATTAATACAAACAACATATACTGGACCTTAGAATGCCCGTACTTAAAGTAAAAGAGCCAAGGGTCAGGATACCAGAAGAAGGGAAAGTCAAAAACAATAGCCAACGTCAAATACCAGAAAAATATACCAATAACACCCTCTCTGACAACCAACAAGTGGAAACCACTGCAGGGAACTCAGAAAAGGCAATACAGGGTGTGATTGGTTAGCTGTGATTGGTTAGCACATGGCCTTTGACCCCAAAACGTGCGTGTGCATCAATAACATGTCACACGTACACTGGCGCCATTTTTAATGTGGGCAGGGCACCCTTTAACAGTAAGAACGGGACCTCAATGGCTGGTGTCCCTTAGAACGCTGCACCAGCCAGGACCTGTCTTCTTGGAGGATCGGGCAGCACTCCGCCGCGATCCAGGTAAGTTAAGTTTACATTTTCCGCTCAACCGCCCTGCTCCTGTGTGGCCGCACCGATCAAGGACTTACTTTTATCTGAAGTATTGGCGCGGCCGCACTGGTCAGGCACGACCGCGTCGATATAGCCCCCTTGCGCCGTTACACTTACATATTGCAAGCCTAAGGGGAATAGGGACACTGCACCCTGCACACTTTAATGAGATGAAGTGGTCTAGGTGCCTATAGTGTCTAATTAAGATGTCAGTCACAAGGAGACGTTAGTGGGGGTTTTTTGTTTGTTTTTTTCATTTTGTTTTTCATCAGTGCATACAAACAAATTTTACTAGCTCATCTAGACATGAGATGTTTTCTCAAATTCAGGAAAAAGCTGCTTTAACCTAGAGTAAAATGCATATTTCAATTAACAATCCCCCTGGTGATACTTCACATTAGTTTCAAGCATGAGTCATTCCCCTTTTATGCTGGGCAGAATGCACATTGAATATGGTACTGGT